AATTTAGAACCCACCCATGGTTGGGGGTCACCCCAACATGAGGAACTGTATTAAAGGGTCGCGGCGTTAGGAAGGTTGAGAACCACTGCTCTAGTGAGACAATAACATTGCCCCAACTTTTGTCCAGGGATGCCAGAATGACAGCAATCATGTTGGCGTCAGTCACGGGGTAGTCCCTGAGCACCAGTTCTGCCCTGAGTGCCTTCAACTTTCCCAGGTGCTCAGCCATGCTAGCCCCAAATTTTAGCTTGGTGTTATAGAACTCTGTTGTGAGTCTTGTGGTGGAGCCCAAGCTATCACTATTAAATAGGCTATATAACAACCCCCAAATTTCACCAGCTATGAGCCCATCTGGTATGCTAGGGTACAATCTAGCATCCAGTGAGCTCAGTAGAGTGGTATAGGCTCTCCTGTGGTACCACTCTTCTTGAGGTCCCCAAGGGAAAGGTGGGGGGTCTAAAACCATTTCTAGGGTCCCCTCTTTTAAGAGACATACTCTTTATTCCATATTTTATAATTATCCCCTGCCAGATGTAATTTCTGAAAATTATTTGTGAGAACAGACACAGCTGGGGCAGAAAATGCTGATATATTTTGCTGTCCAAGGTATCTTTGCTTTGGTTCCATTGAAGTAAATGGGAGAGGGATCCCTCTGCTGGCCGGTGTAGGTATTTTTCTCTGATTATTCTTTTCTTTTTCAGGTGGAGCAAACTGAGCATGTGCGAACTGCTGGGCATGCTCAGATCTCATTCCAGCCCAGGAGCCGATGGGGGTGGACCTCTCCCTCTGTCCTTCAGAGCCAGGCCTGGGCCCAGGCCTGTGGGGCTCTGAAGAGTCTTCTGGAAGCCCCCCTGGTACTGGAACACTTATCAGGGGGCGAAGGCTGCAGGATGGGGCCGGAAAAGCCCGAAAATGCTGAGGATTGCCTGGAGGGGCCCACTGCTGGTCCTGAAGAGTCCGGAGGAGGCATCCATCTTGGGAGGTGGGAGGCTCGGCTGGAGGCCCCCTGAAGTCATCCAGGTGAGTCCTCCGTTGCCTCAGTGGGGGTGTTGGGAAGGCTGGAGCCCCCAGGGGTTCTTCTGGGGCTCTCTGGAGGCCTGGGTCCTGGCTGGGGGGCTCCGGACTGGACGCCCCCCCCTCGCTGGTCCCCTGGGGGTGTTGAGGGAGGCTGGCTGCCCCCGAGGTTGAGGCCATGGTCATCGTGGCCTCCAGGGCTGCGACCAGGACTTGGATTGCAGCCCTGATGCCCGCTGCAGCAGGAGCGGCTGGGCAGACTTCGAGGCTTGCCTGGGTGGGGGGGGCGAGCAGTTTGCATGCTGCTTCGGCTGGCTGCCATCCATTGCTGGGCCTCGTGGCCTAGCTGAGGCCTACCAAGCCTCGCTGGAGTAGGTGGCCTGGGGGCCGCCATGTTGCTTCCGATTGGCCCCGGAAGCTGCAGGTCACGATTTGGCGGGAATTTTCCTGCCAAAAGCTCCGGGGCCCCTGGGTCCCCCGGGGTGGCTGGCGCCATGTTGGGGAGCCTCCTGGGCGCTGGGGAAGGACTTACCCGGTGTCCAGAGGCCCCCTGCACTGGTGTCCCACGTGGCTGGGCTCCTGGCGTCCCTCGGGTTGCTAGGAGCGATCGTAGCAGCTCTCTGTAATCCTCACCAGTGAGCTGGTCTACGCTGGGGGTGGCCTGGTCCCTGGCCGCATCCCCGGTGTCCTGGCAGTCCTGGGTGGACTGCTGGTCTTCCATGCCTTCCTCTGTGGCTTGCAGCTGCAAGGGAGCATGCGAAGGGGTCCCTTGCGTTCCGCTGGGTCCTCTGGGGGCATAGAGATCATCTGTACCCTCCTCTGGATCAAAGCTCGCATCAGGGACTGGATGCAGGGCTGCCAACCTTGCTTGGGGACTCCTGGTCATGACCGGGGAAGTCCTGCCATCCATCTCTTGGGGGTTCTTGCTGGAACCTCCTGGCATCTTGCTTCTGCTGGCTTGGAAGCGTTGCCTCAAACCATCCTTGGCTACCACTTTGTGAGGGATCTCACGAAGAATGATGGTTCGTTGAGGGCGCTTCCAAGAAAAGGTCAGCACACAAGGATGCAATCAAATTAAGTCTATTTAGAAGTAAAAGTAGAGTAAAATAAGAGCCCAGGCATGGAGGCATCCATGCCTGGATTGAGCCCATGGGTCAGTCCCATAGGAGACTAGAACAAGAGAAGGCAAAAGGGAAAGGGTAAAAAGGGCAAAAAGGGGGAGAAAAAGGGAGAGCAGCCCCTGTGCAGGGGTTCTTATAGGGGCCCCTGGCCCCTCCCTTACAAGGTGTGTGAGGGGGCCGGAGGGCCATTAACTTTCCCCAATGGGGCTGCAGGGGCCGGAGCCCCTTGACCCACCTGTGGGATCAAAGGTGCCTCTTTGCCCCCATCTGGTGGCCTTTGAAGAGACTGCCATGGCTGGCACAAAACACCTAACACAGGCAAAGCAGTGTATTATATGATGTTACAAGATACATTTCATAAGCAT